AGAGTTCCGGCTCTAAAGATTCTATGAACCCATGCTTTGTCTTTTAAAATTTAACCCCTCCTCTTCCAGACCTGCCACGGGGGGTCTGATAGGTGCTGAATGACCTCAGATCTCGAAGGTTCTATTAGAATTCGGATCATCGGTCTCCTTGCCATCCTGGGCAGCTCCATCTGGCAGTCTGCAAGTGCCATCTTTGAAGGTTTGTGACATTCATACTTTCTCTTGTAGGGATCACATTTTTCCATAGCAGACGGACCCGAAATCAACTAAAAATAAAATAAAGTAGACAGACCCTCAAGTAAACTATATTTTGTACTGTATGGTCCATGTGAAGAAATTCTCCATTTGTTTCTATTCTGATTCTCAAAACTTTACATATGTAAATAACGGTGTTTGTTGCCTTTAGGATAGCATAAATATTTTGCCTGAAAAGCTCAGCCTCAACTTTCATCTCTCCTTTCGGGGTCTCCTCAATTCACCTCTCCGCCTCTAAGGAGGAAGTGATGGGGTGTTAAACAACACTGTACATTTCATTACAGTTTGGGTGCCGGGTCTCACCTCCCCTGCCCCCGCCCCAAAGCTGTTCCTCACAAACAGCATCTTTAAAACCGTGCGCAAATAACAGATTAGCGGCCGCAAATGTCGTTTGAGCAGCATCAATAAAACCTCAGCAGCAGGCACAGGGAGCCAATGGTCAGGAGGTCCCGGGAGATCTCCCACACAGGATGCGCATCTTGTTACAGAATTCCTCAATGCCTTTTTGCCGGCTCCCTAATGACCAGTTAAATGGGCTCCCTTGAGGATGCTTGAGTCAGCGCCAGCTTGAAAACTGCTGAAGAAACATCCTCTTTTACTGGAAATGATTTCCATCAAACTGCCTTGTGCCATTTTTAGACTCACAGCTGAGTAACACCCAGCAGAAGGGGCTACGTTTGCAGGGCAGGAGGCCCCGCACTGTGAGAAAAGAGCTGGCTTTTGTCTGGCCCTGCTGACCGCAGGGCAGTGAGCTGGTGAGTGTGCGGCGGGCAAAGAGCAGAGGGACAGATCGCTTCGTTCTGTCTGCAGAGACCAGCTCTCTGGTACTGGTGTTACAAACCAGAAGCGTGCGCGGGGAGTGATGCGCCAAGCCCACCCACCTACGCTGCCCGAGGTAGGACATGGAAACCCAGGGATCCGCTCACCTGAGCTCAACAAGCAGATGGCAAGCAAAAGCCTCTTCCCCCCCACCCCGCCTTTAAATTTAAATCACAGATTGAGGTCACGGAAAAATGATATCAAAACATAGTTTGCTAAAAAGCTGAGTCACAAAATTATAGGACTTTAAGAAGTGTACTTATATATATATATGCATACACATATATAATTTAACATAAATATTTAAGTGTAAATATGTAGACATGGGATTTTAAGGGCAATCGTTCCCCCCACCCCGTTTTTCCTTTGGCTTTTCTCTGCCCCCTCGTCTAGCTCCCTCACATCAGCCCTCCTCTCCACATTAACTCATGTTCATAACGTACCTTGTGTCCTGCCATGTTCTTCTTTATACTCACATAATTGTGTACAGACACACAGATATCTATGTGTATAGATAGATCATTTCTGTCATTGATTTCTACCAATGAGATCCTATTACCGACACTTCTCTGCATTTTCTCTTCTCTCTAATTAGAACTTAGGAAAATTCCCCCAGGCAACCCCTACAGCTCAGACTCTGGTCTCTGACAAGCATGCATTATTCCAGAAGGTGGAAGGCTCCACCTTCTTCCAGCCACTCCCCTCTGGATGGGTGAAACTTCTTGAAACACTGTCCTGCTCTTTTTCTATAACTTTCCACTGGAAATCATAACAAAGAACACCTACTCAAGTCTTAAATATGTTTCCTTTAACAAAGAACAAGAGAGCTTCTCCCTTGAGCACTAAAGCAAGCTTGTCTTCTATTCAGTGCAGAGGGCAGTGCTGTGTCAAAGCCTAGGTCTTGCTCAGGTATCACCAGGGGACAGATCAGGAGGCCACCGCTATTGAAGGGATAGTTTGTGACTCACAGTTCCCAAGAGAAGAGGGCAGGCTGCCCCCCTCAGGGCCACATGGGGAAGCACTGGGATTGATCAGGCTTCAGAAGGAGGGAGAAGAACCTGGGCAGGAGCTTTCATTGTGGTTTTCACGGGAAGGAACAGGCAAGGCAGGGTAAGCAAGGTAAGCCAGTTTAGGATTGGCTATGAGGAATGAGTTCAGTGGGCTCTGGGCTATAGGGTTGTCCAAAGTTGTCTGGTATCTGGTCCTGGAAGGATTAGGGAAGAGTAATATTGGCCCCCAGTGTAGGAGCAGTACACCAAGGGCCAAGATGTCATTGCCTGCGCCTGTGTCTTGGGCATTTTCCATTTGCAGAACTTCTAAACGCCCAATAATTGAATGTTTTAACTTTGGCCTTCTTTTTTTTAAAATCCTTTGTATGTTTTTGATATTTAACAAAGAATAATTAAAAGCGGTGGTGATGGTACCTTCCAAAATCTGGAAATTTTTATCTCACCCATCTAATCTGGGAAACAGTGGTTCATTTAATGAATGTACTATTTTTATGTTTTGTGTTAATGTGACCTAAGCTACATGCAATTAAGTTTTAAATTAACCTAGTATAGAAAAACCATTTAAATCTTCCTCTTCTCTAACTTGTTCTCTGAAAGAAAAAAAAATTAAGATTCTGCCTGAGGGTGGCAAGTAGAGCGAATGCTCAACTTTCCACATTGTGGGGATGAGCCACCATTGGATACCAGGGATATTTGGATGCACAGACTTATTGGCAGACCCTCACCCCATCACGCCACTCCACCAAACAATAAAAACAGAACAATAAAATCTGGTTTATAACATGTGGATATTTATACATAGGCAAGGGAACTCTCCAGTCTTGGCCTGGAGAGTTTTGTTTTTGTTTTTGTTTGTGTTATTTTTGATTACCAGGTATGTGTGAATTGAAGTGCCTCTATCCATGACTGACTATGTTCTAACCTCAACCCCATACCTGACCCCCATCTCAAGTCCAGGAGAATTTAAAGTCCTGTTTCTGTCACTGGGCAAGACAGGGTGTTGTTATGGGTTGAATTGTGTCCTTCCCCCAAATTCATATGTTGAAGTCCTAACCCCCAGTACCTCAGAATGTGACCTTATTTGGAAATAAGATCATTGCAGATATAATTAGTTAAGATGGGGTCATTAGGGTGGTCCTTAATCTAATAGGACCAGTGTCCTTATAAAAAAGGGGGAAACTTGAACATACACACACACACACACACACACAGGGAGAGTTACATGGGAAGGTGAAGGCAGAGATCAGAGTGATGGGTCTAAGAGCCAAGGAACACCAAAGATTGCCTCGAAACCCCTAGAAGCTAGGAGAGGATGGAGCATAGTCTCCCTCACAGCCCACAGAAGGAACCAACCTGCCACCATCTTGATCCAGAACTGAGGCAACAGATTTCTGTGATTTAAGCCATGCAGTTTGTGGTGTTTAGTTATAGCAGCCCTAGAAAACTAATGTGTCTTCATATCTCACTGAGAGAAAGTAACAGGGGCCACTGCTGGGTCAAGCTAGCATTTACCAGATGCCGAGGGGGAAGGAGGAATATTGCTGGCCTCTCCTTGCAGGTGAGTCCCCCCAGATTTGTGTCCCAGGCCAAGACTGGAGAGTCCCCTTGCCTATGTATAAATATCCACATATTATAAACCAGATTAACAAACTGTGGAATAAAATATGTTTTTATCCTTCTACCTTGAAACTATAAGAAGAGAATGTGAAGCAATGGTTTTTGTATGGCTGAATGTCAGCAAAATATAATAATTAACATTGTTAGACAATAATTAATTATTTTAGTGTTCTCATGGGTCAGCTTTTTTAGCATAGTAATAAATTTTAAATGTATGTAATTGATTAAATCTTATATATTTATTCCTTAAAATTTCTTTTTTACTTTCATTTCAAATGTCATTATACTCAAAACTATCACTTAGTTTGCACTATATTGATAGTAAGCCAACTGAGACAGTAGAGTTTTTAAAACATTTAAATATCAAAGAAAACCTTTACTCTGTTCAGGCAATAGGGAGTGAAATTATCAGTAACGGTTTTAAGGCAGTTCTTTTTTTTTTAATTTTATTTTATTATGTTATGTTAGTTCTTTTTTTTAAGATTTATTTATTTGAGAGAGAGAGAGAAAGAGAGAGCACAAGTGGGGGGAGGGGCAGAGGGAGAAGCAGGCTCCCCCCTGAGCAAGGAGCCCGATGTGGGACTTGATCCCAGGACCCTGGGATCATGACCTGAGCCGAAGGCAGACACTTAACTGACTGACCCACCCAGGCGCCCCTAAAGCAGTTCTTAAATTTAGAAATGACAGATGAATTTTGCGTATTGTGTTCAAATAGAAAATACTACAAAATATTTTAATTGCATCCTATAGATCATGATCACTTATGTTGTTTTTTTAAACCACTTCTTAAAGCATTGGTTAAGGGGTATGTATATATTTAAGAATAAATGAAGCATCGGTGTCGTTCTTCATGCATGTTATATCAAACCTGGATGTATAAAAAATCAGGAATAATTGCAAGTGTTCAACGTTGCAAAATATTTCTCAACTACTATGAGCAACTGTTGAGAACACCATGCTAATTCCCTGATTCATAAGTACCCCTAAAGCTACTTATTGGGACATAAAGAGAAGCAAGAACAAGAACGTTTGGAACTATTGGAAAGTGATCATTCACTACGTGAGAATACATCATCACCAGGATATTTAAGAGAAGGATAGACAAGTTCATTAATTTATTCTTTCTCCAGGCATCTCACCAAAGCTGAGTCCATCTCCAGCAACAGTAGCAAGACCCACATAGGGCTAATAGATAAATGACAATGCACTCGGGACATACTTATACCAAAAGTATTCATTGTTTATCTGAAATTCAAATTTATCTGTGTCCTGTATTTTGATTTGCCAGTAACAGACCCATACTCCTTCATGCGGTCAGGCTTGGTTATGTCGTGTTTGGAGTGCCTCAGAAGACGAGATGTGGAGGAGTGTTTCCCTGGGACCAGAATGGTGTCGATCACTAGAGCAGATGGTCTAATATCATGGAGCCCTTGCCTGTGCCACACGCTGGATCCCTGAAGACAGAGGTACCCACCTGTTCTTTAAGACATGTTCTCTTTTGGCCACCACAGGGAACAATCATGCACATACTTCTTACCAGCCCTCAAGAAGCCAACCCCACTTGTCTCCCATGCATTATTTTACTCATAAATATTGACTATGCACATACCAGGAGCCAAGTGCTCATCCAGGCACAGAGGAGGTGAGGAGGAAGAAGAGAAGACACTACATGCATGGGCAGGAGAAGAACCCATCACACAGTTGTCTGTAGCCTCTCAGGAGAGACAAGCCACAACCCTAAGAACAAGAACCAGAGCTAAAGGTGGTTGCCTGTGGAGGTCAGGGGTCACTTCAGAAAGAAGCAGCTTTAATTCACCTTAGATGCAGACAGGTTTGGAAGAGAGAAACAAACAAAGTGGATTGAATGTCACATGTGCAAACATGCTAGGAAACAAGAGTTGTGAGGCAGTACTAATACGTCTTAGAGGTAAAATTTGATAAATCTTATGAAATTATTTCTTTTTTTTCCCCTTTAGTAGTGAAGAAATTGGAGAAATTGACCATAAATTTTCCTTTGGAGAAACTGACCATAATTGTCCTGGAAAACAACCCACTAAGACGAGTCAAGGAGCAGGTGAGTCCCTCCCACAGATGGATGTTTTCCTAGCATCAGACAAGGTGTGGGACAAGCCCCCAGCACTTCCGGTCAGGGATGCCCAGGAGAGCGCTCCCCCAGCCATGCCGCACATGGCATATCGCACCTTGGGCTATTAAGCTGGAAACGCAGACCCCTTTTTGTGGTTCTAACAATCTCCAGGAGATATTTTTCCTGGAAATTTTAAGTCCTTTTTCTCACATCAGCTCTGTCTAAATTGACAATACCTCTGACCTTCTCATCTAATTACACTAGTATTCTGTCCCTCTTTTTATTAAATGGCTCCATTACATAACCCATTATGGGCTAGCTGCTTTGTGCTGCTAACCTAATGAGCCCACTCTATGATTTCTCTTCTCTTCCACAGTGAGGACAGGATTCTTCAACACTGGATGTGTCACGTCACCTAGGATTTTCACAGAAAGCCTTCTTTGACGAACAATTTTCCTCACTCTGGAATTTACTAAGAGACAACCAAAACTGTGCTGAAATTGCATGTGCTCTCACTTAGGGAGACATATGTAGATCAGGTCACAAGACAAAGGCAAAGTGGAGAGGACTGTAAAGCAGGAAGTGAAATGACAATGTTCCAGAGGAGAAATTAGGAGAATGAAAACATCAGTCAAAAGTGGGAAATGAAGGATGAGCCCAAAGAGCCCCCTTCATGCCGCCAGGCGAGATGAGATGCGGGTAGCTGCTGCAGGCAGCCCCAGTCGGTCCTCCACCTGATTTCTGAATCAGAAAAGTTCCAGGGTCAAACAATATTCTCCTAATGTGTTATGAATTTCTATCGGGTCCTAGTGAAATGTAGAAATTAAATAAATGGACAGATATTTACGAGAACACCATTAGGAGGACCTGCACATCCGTACTTTGGAGCCATATAAGTGAATTATCTATTATACTGACTAGCATATTAACATTGCATGGGCTTTCCACTGTTCTTACCCCAAAGTATTTGCTACATTTGAGTTCTAAACTGCTATTTTCATTTTATTTCCTCCTTTCTGATATTTGGCATTCTTCTCATCTGTTGGGAACCTTGGCTATATTTGTGATTATTTGGAAGTTACAAAACAGAATTCTATAGCATTGTGCAGCAGTTAGGTGCAATCAGAGATCACTAAATGCAAGGCAGGGAATCCAACAAGAAAAGTTAACTCACGGTGTTACCTACTATCCTGAAGTAAGGCTGGCTTTAGCAAAGACTTCTTCATTGACGGCAGTAGGGCAGTAATGATATGCCTCAACCATATTAATAGCTATTGAATTGCTAATTTCATTAGCATTTGCACTATCATTATGTATTAATTACTACAGTCAGGCCACTGAAGACTAATATCCAAATCTGACAACACCAATTCCCTGGATGCATTTTGTGGTTGCTGAATGATTATTGTTCAACAGTTTGCTGCCTTTGACAAATACGTAGCAACTTAGGCTTCCCAGCTCTGACAAGGCCGATTGCACAGATATCTTGAAACCAAACCAGAAAGTCTTCAACGACTTTAGAAGAACGCTCCGTGTGGTGGACGAATGAGGAACACCAAGCACACTCATGCAAAGTTCCATCTTGTCTCAGAGTGAAAGGATTTTGCTTAAATACAAAACAGTCTTCAAGTGAAGTGACATCTCCCACAGCTCTCTCTGATGATGTGTGCTATTTGAAAAAAAGTCAGTGGTCAACTAAGTGTGGAAAACACTGGACTAAAGAGAAGCACGGATCTGACTGTAGACCTTCTCAGAGCCCTTAATATATTATGTCTTATGACTCTATGAGAGGGGGATAGAGTTTGCAGAAATTCCCAAAATCTACTTGACCTTCTAATCTCGTTTCTCACTGCATATCCCTTAGAATTATTAATCCCAGGAATGTGCTTTTGAAAAGGCTGAAGTAGTAGAATAGATTTGCTGCCAGAGGGGTGAGCATTCCATAAAAGTGGAGACCAAAACAAAAACAAAAAAAAAGAAAATAGAAAATTTCTATTGTATTTAAAAGAAACTTATTGTCACGAGAGGCTCCATAATTTCCAGATAAACCTCCAGTCTACACTGTGAGAAGAATCTGATGCCATTTCCAAGATCTCTGCAAATTATAAGGGCCTCATATTCTGGCTACTCTGGCCCTGAGCCCCAGGTTCCCCTGAACTGATAATCATTGGATCATCTCTGCTCTGGTGCACACTGTCTCCTTCCACCCCACGTTAGCCAAATATGGAATGCCATCCCTTTCCTTGATTTTCACCAAAACCACAACCACACAAATAAACATACCTCTCACAAGTTCTGTTTGTGTCTAGTAGGCTTTGCAAAATGCTGGGGAGAGCTTTGGAATTTCTACTGCAGCAGTATAATCATGAACAACTCGAAACTGAATACTAGACACACCTATGCTTTCTTTTTTTAAAGTTTTACTGAGATATAATTTATATACCATAAAATTCACCTATTAGAAGTACAACTGGGTAGTTTTTAATAGATTTACAATGTCGAGACACACTTCTTCTTAACTTCCTTCATTAGTTCTGAGACCTTGGCTCCAGTCTCTTGCCAAGCTGTTTGTCTTCCCTCTCCCCCACCACCTCTGTGTCTCTCTCTTGAATTCAGTTTCTTTCTTTTGCAGCTTTTTGGTGCTCTTGTTTGCAGCCAATCCCTTTTAATCCCATCTCTCAACTCTGGATAGCGTATCAGAGCAACTTTATAAATACAGACAGATTTCTTCCAGAGAGACATTCAGATGTCAGAATTTAAAAATAAGATGAATAAATAAATAAAGACTTAAGACTTTATAGCATTAGCCCAATGTCTACCTCCCTTATAGAAGCCATGTGATTTCTATTGGTTCACTTCTGGAAAGGCTTGGATCTTCCTTTATATATTATCATCCTACCAGAAAGCAGCAAGAGGTGTTTCTCACTGCCTGTTCCCCCTCAATCCATCATCCCCTCCACCTAGCTATGTTTCTCAGACAAACTTTCAATAAGACCCAGACAGAGAGCCTGGTTCAGACTCCCTCCTGTCATCAGCCTGGCCTCCACCCCAATAAGCCAGGAAAATGCTACCTAATATGCAGTCACAGGGAACTACCTCAACAAAGCAAGCGAGCACAGTACTTGTGGTTGAAGGCCTAGGTCCCAACAGCCATGGCCTAGATTTTCTCCAACAAAGGAGAAGAGGAGGGGAAGAAACTAGAGGGGAAACAGGACTGGGTTTCAGAGAGCTACACAGTGGGTTTGGGATTGACCATTTCAGATGTGGTTTGGGATGAGGGGTGGCCTCATGCCCCGTCCATAGCCCCAGGGGCTGCAGAGAGCCCACGAAGGCCTGGCTCCCGATCCTTGGGCTGTTTCCACTGGTGAAGAGTAAACGATTCAATGACAAGATGTGATTTTGAGTTTGTTGCTCAGGGCACACATAGAATTCCTTCCAGAAAGGCAGCTTTACCCATATTTTAGCCGTTGGGTAATTACTGCAATGAAACAAAACTGTGAACATTTGCATTTGCCATACGGTCCCTGTCCTGTCTACCTGGCAATCCCTGCAAGGGTCATGCAAAGACAAGTCTCCTTCACTCTACCTTGAAGCATTTGGTTTGGGGAGTCTCAACTTTCTGTTGTGTTCATCACAAATCCTCATGCTTTAGATCTTGAGTAAATATCTTCCTTCAACACTTAGATCAAATGGCTGGGCACTGCACACATACGGCAAGCTGACACTGAGAGGGAGTGGAGGCTGGAAGGAGAGACCCCCCTGGCAAATCCACATAATACATCGCAGCCTTGTGTCTCAGTGAATGATGATGAGGTCAATAACTGAAACCTTGGGAACCCAAATCAACCATGATGGGGCCTTGGACTTTGGACTCTCCCCACAGTATCACCATATTTACAGGGGCCTGTGGTGGCCACAAGCTACAGATTGTCTCTGGACCAGATTTCCTTTCCTGCCGCAAAGTGGTTAATTTGCAAATGGGCTTTTTTATTCTTTAAATTTTTTTGTTGTTCTGTTAATCACCATACATTACATCATTAGTTTTTCATGTAGTGTTCCATGATTCATTGTTTGTGCATAACACCCAGTGCTCCACGCAGAATGTGCCCTCTTTAATACCCATCGCCAGGCTAACCCATCCACCCATCCCCCTCCCCTCTAGAACCCTCAGTTTGTTTTTCAGAGTCCATCATCTCTCATGGTCCGTCTCCCCCTCCGATTTCCCCCCCTTCATTCTTCCCCTCCTGCTATCTTCTTCTTTTTTTTTTCTTAACATATATTGCATTATTTGTTTCGGAGGTACAGATCTGTGATTCAACAATATTGCACAATTCACAGCTCTCACCATAGCACATAGCCTCCCCAATGTCTATCACCCAGCCACCCCATCCCTCCCACCCCCCACCACTCCAGCAACCCTCAGTCTGTTTCCTGAGATTAAGAATTCCTCATATCAGTGAGGTCATAGGATACATCTCTTTCTCTGATTGACTTATTTCACTCAGCATAACACCCTCCAGTTCCATCCACGTCGTTGCAAATGGCAAGATCTCATTCCTTTTGATGGCTGCATAATATTCCATTGTGTATATATACCACACCTTCTTTATCCATTCATCTGTCGATGGACATCTTGGCTCTTTCCACAGTTTGGCTATTGTGGACATTGCTGCTATAAACATCGGGGTGCACGTACCCCTTCAGATCCCTACATTTGTATCTTTGTGGTAAATACCCAGTAGTGCAATTGCTGGATCGTATGTTAGCTCTATTTTCAACTTTTTGAGGAATCTGTTTTCCAGAGGGGTTGCACCAGCTTGCATTCCCACCAACAGTGTAGGAGGGTTCCCCTTTCTCCACATCCCCGCCAACATCTGTCACTTCCTGACTTGTTAATATTAGCCATTCTGACTGGTGTGAGGTGGTATCTCATTGAAGTTTTGATTTAGATTTCCCTGATGCTGAGCGATGTGGAGCACTTTTTCATGTGTCTGTTGGCCATTTGGATGTCTTCTTTGGAAAAATACCTGTTCATATCTCTGCCCATTTCTTGATTGGATTATTTGTTCTTTGAGTGTTGAGTTTGAAGAGTTCTTTATAGATTTTGGATACTAGCCCTTTATCTGATATGTCATTTGCAAATACTTTCTCCCATTGTGTCGGTAGTCTTTTGGTTTTGTTGACTGTTACTTTTGCTGCCCAAAAGCTTTTTATCTTGATGAAATCCCAATAGTTCATTTTTGTCCTTGCTTCCCTTGCCTTTGGTGATGTTTCTAGGAAGAAGTTGCTGTGGCTGAGCTCGAAGAGGTCGCTGCCTGTGTTCTCCTTTAGGATTTTGATGGACTCCTGTCTCACATTGAGGTCTTTCAACTCTTTGGAGTCTATTTTTGTGTGTGGTGTAAGGAAATGGTCCAGTTTCATTCTTCTGCATGTGGCTGTCCAATTTTCCCAACACCATTTGTTGAAGAGACTGTCTTTTTCCCATTGGACATTCTTTCCTGCTTTGTCAAAGATTAGTTGACCATAGAGTTGAGGGTCCATATCTGGGCTCTCTATTTTGTTCCATTGATCTATGTGTCTGTTTTTGTGCCAGTACCATACTGTCTTGATGATGACAGCTTTGCAATAGAACTGGAAGTCCGGA